TTCTTGTGCGGAGACCGGAGGGTACCCATCCGGATTGTCGGATGTTGTTGCTTAGTGCTGCTTCTTCTTCTGTTTCTTCGTTGTGAGTTTGGGTTTGAGGTTGGTTTTGATTATTATCTTGATGTTCGGCGCCTTCTTTTTCAGCGCGGCCTTTGCGCGAGAAATTGCGACGGGTGCCGGGGTTTTTGGGGTCGGAGATTTGTCGGGTGAGAAAGGAGTCTGCGGGGGGCGACATGGATTCGGCGCCCATGGCACTGGTTATGTCGGCGTAGAGAGCGGGCATTGCGGGCATGGGTTCGTGTTGGTGGTCGACGGAGGTGGAGGGGCCGTCGGCGGGCGCGTAGGTGCGTCGATCTCCGGTGAGAGCGAGGTGCCAGTTTGCTTGGGAGGTTTTGGGGGCGATGGGGGTTTGGATGTCCTCCATGATATCGAGGGGTGGGAGGTCGGCGGTTGGAGGGAGAGTGTAGGGGTTTGTGGTTGGAGCTGGGGTTGCGGCTGGGACTGGAGACGTGCTTACAGGTGGTGGGGAGCGAGAAGGACGGGGACGGAGAGCTTGTGGCTCAGGGGAAGAGGAGTGATAATACATCTGGGGCTCGGGAGATTGAGATGGGTAGTAATGCTGAGGTTCAGGTGATTGCGATGGGCGGTAAGGCTCTGAGGAGGGTGGACCACGTGTTCGACTCGGGTCGTAGGACTCTGGAAGTATTTCAGAGTGTGGTGGTTGGAATGGATCTCGATCTGGTATAGGAGATGGAGAGCGAAAGTTGCGGGCGTAAAGATCAGGAGTTGGTGCTTCAACGGGTGCATCATGTCCGGCAGGCGTGGTGGGTCGATGATAAGGAGATTGAAAGACAGGTGCATAGCCTAGATTGTTGATACCGCTCATTTGAGAGTAATGATCTTGAGGTGGTGGAGAATGACGTCCGAATGAAACTGGAGAGTGAATTGGTTGTAGAGATGGCGTTGGGTTAGGAACTGCTTCAAAGGTTGATTTTGATGGCCGCGGACTGGAAAGAGTTAGTTGCTAACGGAAGAGTATAAGATTTACTAAAGACTCACGGAGACGTGGCACCACGAGGAACGCTTGATTCTCGTTTGTTTCCTCTTTTACGAATAAGGAAGAATGCTGCTATAGATGCTCCTATGATAACAATCAAAGCACCAATCGTTCCACCGACTATCGCCCCAGTATTTGAGCTTCCCTTCGATACCGCAGCTGCCGAACTTGTTGATTCTGGGATTGAAGGTGTCAATGACCCCTTCCCAGCAGTAGCCGAAGCTGTGGACTGTGTTGGAGTTGCGGTCGTTGAAGACGGAAACGAGGTGGCTGCTCCAAAGTTACTAGGATTTTGAATTGTGATTGTTGGGTTGAAAGTCACTCCAGTATACACAATCTGTAGGTTATCATCTGTCGCTTGACCAGCAAAAGTGGTTACTGCTGTGACGTTTGCAGTGGAGGGGCCACATCCAAATTGTGAGTAGTTTTCCGGGTAATTAACTTTGTAACAGTTTGAATTCGAAGGGCTGAGAATGTGTTAGGAAATTTATTTCATATATCGCACATTTTCACTAACCATGTTAAGATACCATTATTAATCATGAAGGAATTCGAAGCATATCCAGCACTATTATGATCAATACAAGAGGTATATAATCCATCCGTACAAGGAATCGGGTCCGATCCAGCTGACGAGGTTGGACAGCATCCAATAACTCCGTACGAAGTATCGTGAATACATGAAGATCCACTTGCACAACCCACTGACTGAGCTTTATTCCCTCCGATCCAACCACATATATCAACATCGAATGAGCCTCTCTTAAACAGATCACGAGGCTCTAGGACCGTATTAGTCGGTCGTGGAGACCATTCATCTCCCTTATACGTAGCTGTCTGTTGAGCTGCGGCCCATGGTATAGCATTCGTAGCTCCAAACAAAGTAGAGAAAAAAATTATTATCAAGGGAGACATGACAAAGAAAGAGATTAAAGACTCCACGACGTAATGACGGAGAGAGCTTGACAAAATGAACGACAGAGAAAAGAAATAACAAGAAAGGTCGAAAAAGTTTCAAAATTACATGACAGAGGGCATGGAAGATCTTAAATGAAGAGAAGTAAGCTTTGATGAGCACTTCAATCCATTTGAAAACGCCGCAACCCAGAAGAGAAGAATAAGGGCATTTCCGGGGGCCAGAATCCCACGACAAGATCTATTTCTACATTATCAAACACTTATTTCTCTAAACACGTACAAACCCAATTGGATCGCGAGCGAAGGATGCGACCACAGGACAAATTTAATCATTTGTAAAGAGTCGTGTATGATTTCTCAAAGAGGCTGTGGGATTTGTGAAATGTAACCAAAGACCCTCAATTGGAAAGTTGGCTTCGCCACTTTTTATTATTGGTATAGCAGCAGCTGGAACAGAGGAACTTGGAGAATGTGTTGAGTGGAACCAAAACCTGATATACCAATTGCCAAATTAAGATTCTTGAAACTTTTCAAAGAAAACTTTGTATCCATTATCAAACTTGATGATTGTTAGAGATTTGTATTGTATTTTGTTGATGTGGTTGCTATGATCCATTGGTACCTGCATTTGCGATGAAGGAGGATCGGCTAGTGATTCCCGAGCTTACTGTACCATCAATCATCCAACCCCCCTGCCTGCTGCAGAGAACACATCCCAATTCCTTGTACGAGCTTATGTACTGCTGATTGTTGATGTCTATTTTTACCATCTAATTCAAAAGAGAATAAGTTGTTTCTTCTAGAAATGTGAAGGGTAACTAAGAACCGATTCAAGAACCGATGTGCTACTAGAGTCACCGGAGATTCTCGCGAGTGTTTATTTCGTCATACTGTTTCAAGATATCTCAAACTTGGACAGTTGATCTTCAACTTTTAGTACAACTACAGATATATGCTGTTTCGTGACATACCATGGAAGCCAATATTAAATGAAGCCGAGAGTGTGCTCAGGCTGTGGTTGTCACAGTTTCAACACACCAAAGTGGTATATTTGTATATATGAATTGTACTGAGGGGTGCGTATGGAAAAGTGTCGAAATTGAGTCCCAACTTGAGTAATATTCACCGTCCAAGATCATCGAATCCAAAGTTCTAAAAGCTTAGTAATTCGGCATTCGAGGATGATTGGCTTCGAAACCTTGTAGTAGCATCGATCTGAAGATCTCTTTCGAGGCATCACTCATCTTGACGTATGCGAGTTGAGCAAGAATTCTCCCGCGAAAGTCTGATGATCTACCGAGAACTGCACCATGATAATATCGTTATAAATCACAATTTCTTTCTATTCTAGTTGCTTTCAAGCACTGCCTGAGATTTAGACCTCTCTAAGTTCTTTCATCTGATCAACTCTCTGTCAAACCCGTATCAGCTTCACGTTCTCGATGTCTAAGGCTGTCTGTTTTATACCTCGCCACGTCGAGAATCCGTGTTTCGGCTCGGAACTTTGCCTGGACGGATTCCAAATGGAACTCATCTAACAATTTATTTGTTGTTCACAAATATTGGACGACCGGGAGTGGTCTGATACACGCCCAAACTGACAGAATAGGACAAAGAGTGGTGACAGAGTATCGAGGCAAAGTATCGATTGCTATTACATGCTGCTACAAACCTACACCCACTTCCATCAGATCGATGTCAACCTCTTGCGGAGTGCCCTATACACACATGAATTGTTTTGGGGAGGCCGGTCTTTTCAAACGATGTAATCCCAGATGCGATGTAGAATCGAATAGCTACTTCCTGTTCGTTGTACCCACCCATAGTCTAGCCTAGCCTCTAATCGTCGTGTAGAGCGAAGATGGCATCGGGTTGAATTGGTGATATGCAAGAGAACATACACTCATCATACTCTTAATCTTTTCGCTCAAACCTCAAACCCCACAGTCGAGCTTTTGCTATGTGGATTCAGGCGTGATAAGTAAATTCATGGATGGTTCGGTAGTCCCTTTCAGCAGTTCGAAATTGCAAAGAAAAGATAGACAGCTGCAATGCAGGAGAAGAGACATGGAACCCGAAGTCGGAGGCTAGCCCACTAATATTTATGTCTACAATTGACGAATAAAGGTTGGCTATTGTATTTGTAGGAACTACCACAAGATCCCTAATGGGTAGTATATTGAAGGACGAATGCTAGACTCATAAGATAAATTGCCCAAGAATGTGTATGCGTTATAGTCCGCTGGAACAAATTAGCTTGACCAAAACATCGCTGACAGTGTTTGGCTAGATATCAACCATATGCCATTGTTGCAAAGAGCATTCCTGATCTACTCCTGTGTATATATCATATTGCTTCTCAACGAATATGACTTAAGCGTGTCACCGAGTGAGGTGAGGAAAGAATGGAAACGATCTTCTTGACTTCTTGCATGTGAAAGATGAATATGAATATACCTAGTATATACCTAGGAAACTTGGATGCTTTCAAATAATGAATGGCATGGCCAACATGCCCATACAATTACATAATTGGTACAAATCCATCGAACGATGCGACAAGTTCAAATATGAATAGCACTTCGAAGACAATCGAATACCCAGGTAATGGATATTTGGATGTATTATTTATTCAATGAAGCGAACCCGAAACAATCAGGAGATATGTAATATCGGTGAAGTCTGTAGAAAATTCGTGCGTTTTCTAAGACATACATACATGTATCGTGTTGTTGTTGGTGGGGAATAAAAATACAGCGAACGGAAAAGGAATTGAGTCCCGCCGCCATTTTTACACCATCCCATCCACTCCCACCCACTCCCATCCACTCCCGTACACCATGACGAACCTCGGCTCCTTATCTCTACTGATGCTCGCATTATTGATGAAGCATTCTTGCCACAAAGCTATTGATTATATACCATTGAGAACAATTAACAACAACTGATACATACAATCCTCAACTCTTATCAAATTTACGAGAATACACATTTTTATTATCAACACACTGTCTGCAACATCACTATGGGTCCCGTGAAGACCGCAAATTTACCCATTATTCCCTTGGCGAAAGGAACCGTTCTACTCCCTGGAATAGTCCTTCGCATTCCAGTATCTGGTCAACGAACAGATATTCCAGCTTTGCTCTCTGGAGTTTATAGCAGAGCAGCCTCAACTACACCGAGTCAGCGATTGGATAATGTCAATATTGCCTGCGTTCCTTTGAACTCGCCATTCCTCACTCAAGATGGACAGAAGATGATTACTGGAGATGAGCAAACTCCACAACCCAGAGAACGATTAGATATCAAGCCATCGAGAGCTTCGAAGGATCATCTGTTTGGATATGGAGTGGCTGCTAAAATATCGGGGGTTGAAGGCACGACTGGTCGTTCCGGGGAATTCGCCTTGTTGGTTGAGGGTGTAGCCAGGATCAAGGTGGATAGGATAACACAAGAAAAGCCATTCCTTGAAGGAGAAGTTACGTATTTATATGATGAAGGTAAGGAAAATCGTGCTTATCAAGACATGACAATCACTAAACTTTTGCAGATGTGCCTACTGAAGATGTAGCCGTCCAAGGACTTTTCGCACATCTTAAACAACTATCACGAGAACTTTTGACCCTTTTGCGACTTTCATCCCTCCTACCTCGCACATCCGCTGGGCTTTCCCCAGTACTTGCACGCCGCCTCGAAGTATATATAGCAAAGAAAGATGTATCAGAGGCCGGAATACTGGCAGATTTCATGGCTAATGTGGTTGAGGCATCGTTGGAGGAAAAGTTACTGGTTTTAGCAGCGCTCTCAACTAAGGATCGCCTTGAACGAGCAATTCTTCTACTTCAACGTCAAGTCAGCACTATCAAAAATAACGTCAAAATAACAACAGTCACAACCTCCAACATCCCCGCAAACATAGATATCGAGCAATTCAATAAAGTAAATGGACATCGCATGCGAAGATCATCAATGTCGGGCGCGCCACTGCCTCCCAGTACGGCAGGTAATGGTGGGTCTCAGGATGATGATCAAGAACCAGACGAAATGGAGGAGCTTAAGAAAAAGATTGATAGCGCAAAGATGACCCCTGAAGCAGCCAAAGTCGCCGACCGAGAACTGAAGAGATTGAAGAAAATGGCACCAGCTCAGGCAGAGTATCAAGTCTGTCGAAATTATCTGGAGAATTTGATTGAGATACCGTGGTCTGAGATGACTGAAGATCAACTTGGCGTCGATACATTATCAAGGGCCCGTAAACAACTCAATGATGATCATTATGGGCTGGAAAAGGTCAAGAAGAGATTACTTGAGTATTTGGCGGTTCTCAAACTCAAACAAAGTATCAATGATGATGTTAATTCACAACTTGCCAAAGTAGACGAAGAAAATTCAACTGCTAAGGTTGAAATTCTTAAAAGCAAGAGGACAATCGACAAATCACCAATTCTGCTCCTTGTTGGCCCTCCTGGTGTAGGCAAGACTAGTCTAGCAAAGTCAATTGCTACTGCGTTGGGACGAAAATTCCATCGGATTTCTCTCGGCGGCGTCAGGGACGAGGCGGAAATTCGAGGTCACCGCAGAACATACGTGGCAGCAATGCCCGGCTTGATAGTGAATGGCCTGAAAAAGGTCGGTGTGGCAAATCCTGTCTTCCTACTTGATGAGATTGACAAGGTTGGGTAAGTAACGTTGTTGTCTGTAGGCATTTCTGTAGCTGACTCCTTTGTAGCACGTCTAACTTTCATGGCGACCCATCGGCTGCCATGCTTGAGGTTCTAGACCCAGAACAAAATCATACATTCACGGATCACTATGTCAACATACCAATCGATCTTAGCAAAGTTCTTTTTATTGCCACCGCGAACAGTTTAGATACCATCCCGCCACCATTACTTGATCGTATGGAAACTATTAGCTTGTCAGGATACACGACACTTGAGAAAAGACATATCGCCTCGCAGCATCTAATCCCAAAGCAGATTCGCACTAGTAAGCCTCCACAATCAGCTGAGAATATTGTATTGGGCCACTGACGCTGTGTAGATGGGCTCGGAGATGGACAAGTCGAGTTCACCCAGGATGTTGTGTCCAAGATCATCGAATCCTACACTCGCGAATCAGGGTAAGCATTGATGGCCCTAAACTCCTCTTTCCTATAGACCGAATCATCCCTACCTTTCTAGTATAATCTTGCCACTTTCAAGGTTAATTGTAGTAACTTCACTGACCACCTAAACTCCTAGTGTCCGTAACCTTGAGCGAGAGATTGGATCCGTATGTCGTGCCAAGGCGGTAGAATATGCGGAGGCGAAGGACTCGGGACATACGGGTAGAGGCTCTTTCCGCATGATCCTTAGCCAGCGAATACTGACCAGTTCTACAGAAAACTACAACCCAAAGCTTTCGGTGGAAGATATCGAGGAAATCCTGGGTATTGAGAAATTTGATGAAGAAATTGCCGAAAAGACAAGGTTTGCCCTCCATCTACTCTCTTTAGTCTCCAAGATCTGAGACTACCTTGCTTAAGCTTTTGTAAGGATGTGAACACTAATTACAAGAATAGTCGTCCAGGGATAGTCACAGGTCTCGTGGCCTATAGTTCTGGTGGGAACGGCAGTATTCTTTTCATCGAAGTGGCCGATATGCCAGGGAGCGGTAGCGTGCAGCTAACAGGGAAATTGGGCGATGTACTAAAAGAGAGTGTCGAGGTAGCACTAAGCTGGGTGAAAGCTCATGCGTACGAGCTGGGTCTGACGCATGACCCATCGGAGAACATCATGAAGAAGAGGAGTATTCATGTGCACTGTCCTTCAGGGGCTATTCCAAAGGTTTGCTTTCCCATGATGCTGTGTTATAATCCGCTAATGAATTGACCAGGATGGCCCATCTGCCGGTATGGCACACACTATTGCACTTATTTCGTTGTTTTCCGGCAAGGCTGTGCCCCCAACTATGGCAATGACGGTAAGTCTCAGTATGCAATACTCGTATGTTCACGGGCACTAATATCTTCTATAGGGTGAGATCTCGTTACGTGGACGTGTTACTGCCGTAGGAGGTATCAAGGAGAAGCTCATTGGAGCTCTCCGTGCCGGTGTCAAGACTGTATTATTACCAGCACACAATAGAAAGGAGTAAGTAGTTCTCCTCTCAGCTTAGCCAGCACACTAACACTATATAGTATCAAAGACGTTCCGCAAGAAGTCAAGGATGGTCTAGAGATCATCCACGTCAGGTATGGCTTTCATTTTCTCTATCATCTCATCCATTCATCTGTTCTCATTTGAAGACTAACATGCCACTAGACACATCTGGGAAGCAATGCGATACGTCTGGCCTGAAGCACATTGGCCGGGAGAGGAGAATTTCGCGGGTATTGAAAGTCGTTTGTGATTTTGATAATCATATCAGATCCGAAATCTCCCGGCGGCATCGTGTTGTGTAATCTTAACGGAAATTATCCGCTAATAAATTGCCCTTTTTTCGCTTCCTTGAAATGATATGATTACAGTTGGCGTTTCGAGCTGAAGCACAAAGTATATAAGCCAATATTATCTTTTTGTGTATATTTGCTGTTTTTGGCGCGCGTTTGGGTACCGGGCTACTTGCTGAATGGGCGTTGTGGTATTCAATTTTAGGGGGTTAGCAATCATCATATCTGTATAGGCAATCGCCACTCTTTTCAAAACAAATCACAAGATTTAAATAGAAATCTGTCGAATTGGAATAATGTTGTCATTAAAATCGGTAATACTTGCACTCTGTGAACTTGATGAAAACTGCTATTAGGCTAGGAAATTTCTACTCTTCTAAAATAATATCCGTACAAGAATTCAAATTTCTGGATTATCTCAAGGACTTTTGGGGGTATCTGGGGAGAAATTTGAAAGATGTTGTATAAATCTCATTTGTTAGTATTTCAATGTTTATACAGTTAGTAGGTACTGGCTTAGTGAAGTTGCAGGTCGTTCAAGAGAACTTTTCAGAGGTCAAAATCTCAAATGCACTCCAAGAAAATGTTTTTGAATACTATAATAGTATCATGCACATTTTTAGTTTTCCTCATTACAACATGATGAGTGATGTCATTCGAATCAAATAATATTAATACCGTTAGCACATTGATATGATTATTTGTATGATTCAAATATGTAAAGGAAAAAAGTAGCTTATAATTAGCTTTCTCATGTCTACCAATTTTCATTCATTCATTCATTCCTTCAATCATTCCACGTAAAATAAGATATGATAGAATACGATACGATACGATACGATAGAATAGAACAGAATAAAATAAGATAGAACAAACAAAGGCATAGACACGGAAATAACGGACTACAAACACGGGAGAGAGGAGGGAAGGGGCGTAGGTACGTACCTCGTCTCTCTATATATATGATGGTACGAAGGTACGGAGGTACATGGTGGGTGTACGGGAGGGGAGGGGTGGTGCGAGGTGGGATGTAGTATGGGCTGGGGTGTGAGATGGGTGTGATATGTGGGTAGCCGGGGAGTTTGATGCGGTGGATGGTGGTGCGGGAGTGTAGTGGTTGGTGCTGATGGGTTGGGGTGGTGATGGATGGAATATGGGGGATGGTGTGTGGTGTGTGGATTTGGGAAGGCTTTGCTGCGGGTTGGTTTTGTGAGAGGTGTGGGGATACGATGGGGGCGTGAAGGAATGAATATGAGAGTAGGGTAGTGGCTGGGATGAATAGAAAGAAGGATGGAGGCAGGGACTAGAAAAAGAAAGATCGGTATTCGGGTGCGGGCTCCGAAACCGGTGAGAGAGTGCTGAGTAGTGCGGATTGGAAGAGGGAATGCGGGTTGAGAGATGAGGGAAAGGATGGGCTAGCTATGGGATGGATGGATGGATGGATTGGTATGTGTGCAGATGGACAAACTCCCCGTTTTGAGCCCTCACGTGCGGTATTACTTATATGCATTTGTGCATGTATACATGCATGAGTTCTGGAAACACGAGAAGATAGGATTGGGGATATGGATGTGGGTCTGGAAGGTATGCTTGCTATGCTATGCTATGCTATTCATCGTAGTATATGACATGTAGTGAGACTACTGCATGGATAATTTACTACTCTTGCAGATGCGAATGAAATTATTATATGCAATGCGATGCAATGCAATGCAATGCACATAATGTATCGTCTATGCTATTGTATATTTATCTTTAGGGTATTATATTTCTGTGGTCGTCCATACCTTTTAAGGAAGTTTTGAAAAAACAAATGTTGATTCTTCGTTCTTGATTCTGGAGATATGCATGTATATATGTCGTGCTTCTTGAGTAGAATCAGGGTAGGGGTAGGGTCAAGTAAACTTAGACAATACGTAGGTACGTACTAGACATACATGTTACATATTACATACAAGGTACCGTTGAGAAGTGACGTGAGGAATAGAATGATAACTAGTTGCTGGGTTTGTGCAGCGGCGGTATTCGGTGAGATATCTGGAGGAGGTAAGGTATGTACGTTGAACACGGAGTTGGTTGTTGCGTGGGAATCTCACTAGAGATGGTTGTATGTGTGTGTGTGAATTATTACGAGAATGGGCATTTATATGGTTGAGGAGCTGGATGTAAAGCGATTGTGATATAGGTAGGTAGGTATGTGTATATTTCTGTAGTATTTTACCTCCCATGGATGTAAAGAACGATAGAAGACGATCGATTCGGTTGTAAGAAGATAAACATCGCAAAGTTAGTAAACTACAAATCTAAGATTGCAATTCCATCTCCAAGAAATCGATTACACAAATTCCCACAACTCGGTGAGTCTTAGCGCACTTTTCAAGTTTTAATATCTACAGCACATATTACATTACATACATACATACATACAAATATCACGCATCACAAGCGAAGGAGGATTTCTCAAAACTGTCTAACCCCTTCCTCTCCCATGCAGGAAAGAAATTAGATTCTTCTACATTGCACGGCGACACGAAACTGCGACAGGGAAGTTCGGCATGTTCCTGATGTTGGTGTAGCTACTGAGGATGAGGATCGGACGGCAGCGGGGTGGTTGCAGAGATTTCGGGTGTGTGCAGATGTGTTTGAGGCTGAGGGAGTAGAGAGAGATGGGCAGAGGGAGATTGGTGATGGTGAGAAATTGGGATTTAGCGATAGGTACATAGCTGAAATACTTTGAGATGTTGTATAATCAATATAATTGCAAATATCAATCTGATGGAATATACGAATTTTGACACAGAGCAGACAAGTCAAAAGATATCGCTCGTGGAATGAATACTCGTTGAGCATACCACTAGATGATGATCTGCCTAATGCCTGTCTCTTGATTCCTCTTTTGAGAAGTTCTAAGAGAGTATGAAGTATGTGGCGCAATCTCATCAGATTATCTTCCACAAATCGGCGTTCACTAGGGAGAGGAAGGGCGCGCCCAAAATGGAATTTGAGAAAAACAACCTCCAATATTATCTCTTATTTCGTCTCACCACGTGCGAAGGAAAAGAAAAGCATTTCCACGTTATCACAAATCTGGAGTGACACAAAAAGCTGTACACTCATTTACATCAGGCCAGAATTCCCAAATGGGAAGGGAACTCGCCCGAATAGGAAGTGTAAGATGATCACATATCTCTCCTTGGAGATTCCTTGATCTCAAAACCCAACGATTGGATATCCAAGCACGCAATTAAAAGGGCAGCAATGTACCCGTAGCAAAATATAACCCAAAAGAAGATAGGCAGCATGTCTCGGAATGGCAGAGCGACTGAGACACATCGGAAAGATGAAAGAAACTGAGACAAAAAAACGCACAATCGGGTGGAACAGTGGAACCTGAGCGCACGAGGATTGCTAGAAACAAATTAGATCGTCACCGGAGGTAATAAATCGGAAGGAGAATATGTGTGTCTTACTTTTTGACAAGACGAAGGGGGTGGAACGACGTGACGGGCTAGTGTCACGTGGATTGTAATCAAGAATCGCTCAGTCTGGGAAGCAAGCTCAATCATCGCAAGGAAGAGCTCTCAAGTTTCTTGATCTGAGTTCTCGTAAAGATAGAGAGTGACGATCGGATGTAAAAGTCAATGCGTTGAATAGGGCTAGATGGATCCCTTTGCTCAATCTTAGCTCTTCTATGGACACTCAATGCGACGGGACTTTCGACAGTGAATGCCGAGACACTAGGAGCTTTCCTCTACAACTTCGGACAGATAGATGCGGGTTGAGTCAGGTCGACCGATGGTCTCAGCTAGATCCTCCCAAAGCACGGAAGATCTACTTCAGCTATTGCTATACTCAAAAATAAATTTTCCTTGCAACTTGATGAACGCAGTCCGATCGTGTGCTCAATACAACGCGTACTGAGCGGATACTGTGGATTGGCGGGCTTCGTTTCCGAGAGCGTGAGATTGAAAATACTTTGGTAGGACTACAACGGGTGGCTCGTTAGTGGTACACTGAGCTCTTTAATGCGCGGATCTAGTACTGGATGTACGAGACAGACACTCTACTTGGGACATATATACTATATAGCGTCTGGTTGTAACTGTAGGAGGTATCATTTGCGACCGTAAACGTCATGCCTTCTCCGATCTCCCAAGTCTTGACTCAGACGATGGCTTGATTCCAGATGAAGATTCGGCATGTTCCATGGGTGACAGAGCATTCAATTGGACGGACGCAATAACTGAGTCCTTGGTGGGCGTTCATAGCTCTGTAAGTGACATGAACTAGGATATAGGTTCTCTCTTGAAGATGATCTGCCGGGACATTTTAATCAATATTAAGCATTGACAGCGCTAGTAGTGGGGTTTCCCCGTAAAGCTCTTCGGGATTAAGACTGCATAAAAAAGCTCCTAAATGGACCCTCAAGGCTAAAGACGGTGCATTATTCAAGGTGGCGAATTCTGATCTCCCATGTTGTGAGTAAAAATCTATCAATCAATCCTCTGAATCATCTTGACCTCTTCGATGTTTGTTATTTGCAAGACATGAGGTGAAGAAGAAGTCAGTCCACTAACTTCATCGGGCTCATCTGATGTTCGAAGTTGACAAGCGGTATGGTTAATATATGTTATGGTTCTCCTCTAGGCTCTATCGAAAGTTCTGGGACACTATCAACGTCCGTTCACCTCTAGGCTCTCGCTCACAACTGAGCCTGTCAGCCTATCAATTGCGACGCAACATATTAGCCACCGCTATGATCCCACGCATCCCGCGAACTGCACACCATCACCCATTAAAGCGGAGAATTTCATGGATCAAGCCCGAGAGCCGTTCGAAAGATCTGTACGATTCGTCCGAAAGAATCTGTAGTGTGGCTCAACAGTGACTGCATCTCCGTTTTAGGATCCCGATGTGTCAAGTTGGTAGCGCAAACTATAAGATTGATTGGCGTTCAATAGATGCCAATAGGTAATGATAAGATATCATTAATTGGATAGTTTTCGTTTTTTCTTCGCGTATGTATAAGACGGCTGAGATTGTCATCCTTAGGTACCGGTCTTATGGACCATAATGTATAGTGGCGATATTAAAAATCCGTCTGACGAGCAATGAATGGACAAGATGGGTAACCGGTAAAGCGTCATCATGCTCATGGCCAAATTCAGAGATAAAGTGGTAAAGAATTGTGAGATGTGTCGTTGATATGCAGCTGAAGAGCCATTGTAGTCAGCCTCACCCCCACTCCCCACTCGTTCATACTCATGTGCTCATCGCATTATGCAAGCCTTGTGTGATCGGGCTAATGAATCCCTCCATAGACGATTTAGCCAACTTAGCCAACTTCGGCAGCCTTCAACCCTAAATACCCGTATATCTTGTCTACGACTTAGACCGGTCCTAGACCTTTAAACTTTCGGCAATCCCGATTCATTTTCTTATCTTCAAAACCTGAATAAGGCCTCGTGGCTGTAAGATGGCGTGCAATAGTCCAGCCTCCAGATGTATTGCCTGGCCTTGACATGATAATCGATGAAGCCTCTTTTTCACCCCTCGTGTAAAACGTTGGAGAAAATCATATATTTCCACATGAAGTGTGAACGTTGGCTACTTTCTCTCGACGTTTACAGGACGCACAGAAAGACGTTCGCAGATCTGCCAAGTGACTTAGCTGAGCATCACCTTACCGTCATGTTTAGACTTCTCCTCCATATACAGACTCTAGTTGTAATTAGTGGATGATTAATTGAATAATAAAACCTACAGTCATTAAAATCCGCCATCTATAGTCAACCAACCACCACACACGTACAGATTGACAAAATTATGATTGATTCAGTCAAGGGCGGATATAGAGTCCGCATTGATCTCCTCGCCAATCGGGTGAGTAAATCATGTACCGGTACTGTAGCATCATGCTTTTCATGATCGTCAGCTATAGACACTTTTCGCTACGTACCGTGACTGACTATCATTGTTCCATGCAGATCATAGTAAAGCAGCCAAATTTCATCACAGCCTGGACCAGACTTTCGCATGCAAGTGGTAGCTGGAGAAATCTCTTTTTGCTTATGGATTATTGTCGTCGTGTGGTCACTATACGTACCTCTTGAGTAGCTTGACTATGTGTTTGTACCTGCATTCTGTTTCTCGTGGTCTTGATTCGTGCCTTGCTACCCTGGTTCCGAGATACAATCAATTGGACAAGACAGGATAGATATTCATCAATGTATCATTGCTAGGTGCCGTAGTTAATAGATCTTCTCTTGGAAATTTACAGTGAAAGAAGTAATATGATTGAAGTTGACCAGGGAGAGGCTCGAGTGCGAACGGGTTACTAGGTAATTCTCCGTGGAAGCGCTTGAAATGAGATCTATTATGCTTTCATGTGTGCCGCAATTTCCATGCTCCCCGCATTTCCAAGCACTCCAGCCAATTATTCATTGATTTCTCAAGCTAGATCCTTCTTTCTCGGGTAGCGATCCCAATAGACCTCGTTGAAGATCATTTTATCCATATCAATGTACCCTTTTGGAACTTTCGTATTACAGATTACCAAGGGGTGAGTGAGCTTACTGTCCACGTCAGGCAATAGTGCTCGACAATGTTTGGAACAGATTCTCTGCAATATACCTCTCATTTCGATACAGTAATCAACCATCACACCAGTAGGCTTCATCCGGAACCAATGCAACGCTGCTAAGATCTAGCAAAAACTCCGAAGCTATCACTGACCGAAGGGGCCAAGCGAAGACGCTACTGCAGGACGTTCGATAGCAATACTAACATTGGAAGGGTTTGAGATCGGAAAAGAAAATAGCAAGAAGGGATTCGCATCTCCATGTCTGTGTTGCGCCTTTCAGACAGATGTAGTACAAGTAGATATTAGTGCTGTGCTTTGCTGTATTCTATGTAGCAGCTCTGAGTCTCGAACCAATGTCAGTTTATGGACTGAAGATAATAGAGCTGTTGATTGGATGGTGTAAGGGAAGGAGGGGGAGGGGATAAAGGATCCCAGACTTTTCTTCAAATTCGGAACGCGACCAGAGATTAGATGAGATCTTGCCGGTACAACACCAGCACATACGAACCATCTCATCACCATGCGCATCTTTGAAAACCTGGAAAATGGAACGCTGTAATGATACCACCACAGTTCACTAGTAAAGTAAACTCGCGGTGTGGTCGATCTGATCCAGTAATCCCTCCCATTGCAAGGTTCGGAAGGGTTGAGATAAGAGGGGCAGTAGTTATATTACGATGCTCATATAGGCAGGCTCAGGGGTTGATCAGGTTAGTGCCATGCGAGGAATTCCAAAAACTCACCGAACACTCTGCTTAGTATGTTAATACCATTCGTATTGTAGTTATACCGGTAGTCAAAGCATCGATATAGCATCAATAACGATGACATAACTGACTAGTTGCTTACTACAAAGTTTTTTGAGTCGACGGATTAACTTTCGCTATTGATCAGTATCAATGACAAATTGTTAAAATGTCTAGGATATGTAATTTGTCTACACCCATTATTAGCCTTTTAGATATGTGTAACCCACCTTGCAGGAAACTTTCATCTAAAGCAGTCAACGTTCATGGGAAGAATATATTAATTGCCAGGTCGGGAGATTATTAGGAACGTGCTCAAGCTTCGTCTAGCCAGCCTTGAACGTTGAAAAATACGACATTCTGGGCTTTGCCGAAACCTAATTGATTACTGTACGGTAGCTACATAGGTATTGGCTATGGGTTTGGAGGTTGGTGACAAAGTACCTGTAGCGACAGTACTGATTTTGTTGGTTAAATTTCGCTTGTGCGGAAAAATAGTCTGTAGGTTGATGGCCCCTTGTTCGGGTTTGAAGAATGGCTTGCTTTCGTTCATCGCAATCGTGCCTCGTATTATCTGTGCTTCCATTCATCAGTGTATAAAAGTTTGTATGAAAGGTAATCGGAAGGAAAGGCTGTCCTGCCTTGGGATTATAGTCATCCAAAGTCACTGCCAATACTTCCATCTGGTTTTTGGGACGTGTTATACTATACTGCCTGTGCTAGGGCAAAGAATTCTCTATAGCTCCTCGACATTCCAATGTTGAGTATATGATTACCTAGGCATTGAATAATAGATCCATGATGAACCATTTTTCCAACCAAACAGCAAAAGTCCTTTCATGATATCCAATCTCATTGCAGAACGGTAGATGCGCGGAGAGCTCCATCGGCACGTTAGCCATAGTTTACACTTTTCCTAACTCCCTGGAGTGACATTTTTTGGAGCCCCAGATGAGAGGGAAAAAAACCGACATTGTCCAAGCTTCATCGAAACTCCCCTGTCCCGGAACACGCCCGTTCGTTGTGGTCTACAAGGAAGGGGAATAATTGCATGCATGATGATGCCAAAGTGGCTCGTACCTGGCTTATATTACTGCAATAAACAAGTGAACAATGCTTGAAATAACGTGGTGTCCTGGGTACTCTTGAGGCTTAGCGCTTCCCCGAATCTATACCCCTTGTTCAGCGATTATAATCAGAACAGTTATATCAAGTATCATGAACTCACCAATCTATCTACCTTGCATTTTCTGTGGAAGTCGAGTGACCATCTTTTGCTTTCCTGACACTATAAGAAAAAGACATTATGATGCCCATGACTAAATGTTGACTGATCATACCTGTAAAGAGGATCTGGACTATCGACAGGGCTACTGCATCGAGCCGTTTTTTGTGCTTCTTTTCGATTTTCGAGAGACGATCATGCTCCCTGCCCGCCCGAGAGCTGTCACAATTTTCCATAAGTGTTATAGATGGACGACTTTCCAAATTGATGAACAATGAACCTCGAGACACTTTACATTGAATCCACAATACAATCCAGAATTCCAACACACTATTTTTATCAAGTGACATTCTCCCATTTGAGCACCCACTCTCCCAAACGGGAATAAGAAGAATAGATGAAAATCTGTCATCGCTAGGCAATCCATAGATGTGACCCAGAGGCATGGGCCGAAGCAGAAGCGATGGTTGTGTACTAAAAGTTGTGGCGAGCGGCAAGCAAGGTGGAAGAAATTTGGAGGAAAGAATGAGCGGGGCAAAATAACATTTGTACCCTTTTTGTAATCTCATCATAACCAAATTTGTCAGACGATTATCCTGAGTTATGTGTTCTCTTGTCGTTTTAGTACAAAATTGACAATATCCAAACCGAACTAGGTAATGTTCACGAGGCTTTCCGCAACCGAGAATTGATTAAATTAATTAGATCAGCCATTTTAAGTAGTATGCCTTTTTTTAGTTGCCGTCCGTACCAGAGTTGGAGGCGTGATTTGCTAGGTAGGCTCGTAGGTTTCTTGGACCTAGATCCTAAGGAAGCAGGTCCTTTATACTTTTAATATATTCGTTGCTGGGAGAATGGGACATTGGGAGATTGAACTGGTCCTCCATCGACACCTGGGCTCACTGGCGTCGACTGGGTGCGGATGAAGGTAATTATCATGGTATGATTTTGGGAGAAAGATAGATGGAATTAATTAATTCTTAATTAAATCACATTCTCAAAATCTCAAGTTGACCGTGCTAAAGAGCTACTAAACCGTGAAGGTCGTGCTAGCCTGTTGCCCTGTCACGTAAGATTTAGGGATATCCAATTTACGACATGGGGCCCTGTCAAACTGCAGCCAGCGGCGTGAACCCCAAATAAACCTCACGCTGTGTTTTGGTGGCTAACTAGTAGCGAGTAAGTAGGTACTGGTGTACTCGTGTGCTTGTGTACTGATTGAGATTTTCGAATAAGAAAACCCTGGGAACGTTCAATCAATGTACTGAATGTATGGAGATATACACTAGCTAGGTAGGTAGGCTCGTAAGTTCGGAGCTGACTTCGGACAATATAGAGAGAGAATCCCTAGTAGTTGCTCCTAACGCGTAAAAGTTAATTCTCCACTGATAATCGATCTCAATCATGGATACGCACATCATAGTCAACGGTTCATTTGCCCTTTTCCAATCATTCCGCATGAAAGAAAAAAACGAAAAGAAAAAACCCGATCTTTTGTTGGATCACAATACGGAGACTGGGTGGTAGCGAGGTGGATAAAGTTTAGATATCAGACGAATCATACCGGTATGGACCGTAAAGTAGTCGTCACTGGCTCACGAACGCGCCAGCTAGAACTACCGGCAATCAACCTCAATAATAACTAGGTCAGCCCATTGGACTATAGCTACTACCTAGGTAGGTAAGGTAAGCTAGCTAATCATAAGAATCACGATTCATTCAGTCACAAGCCATCGATGGAAGCTCTTGGATAAATAGGAGACGCCATGCCATGCGTAGATTGTGTTGTGAAGCAAAGCAGAAGAAGAAAATAGTGAATGAAAGACACGACATTTTGTATTAGGCGAAGGTAGTCGAGGCGGTGGGTGGAAGGGATGGGATAGTACGTACCGTAAATTTGATGTGACAATGAAGATAAACCAAATGACAGACTAAAATGATGGGGACCATTGTAATAAATTGTTATAAGAATCAACAAGCTTTTAATTAATACTGAACCAATCAAGGTGACGCCGAGGAGCCGTAGCTACCGAATGATGGGGATTAACTAGAAGTTCACTAGAAGAACGCATGCGGCATGTCCAACCACCGAGGTCAGATCGTAAAAGAAAAGAAAAGGCTTGGCGTGTACCATTTAAGGTAGGAGGTGGCAGATTGGTAGACTGGTGGACTGGTAGTCTGGTAGTCTGGTAGTCTGTTGATAGTCTACTTCAAAAAGAATACCTAATCTCGTAAATCAACGAGATCTATGCTACCACTCATGAGAACCAGAAATGTAACAAGAACAAGTACCTCTGTAGGTATTCCATGTCTTCCAATATCTCTGTATCACTGGAGGATGATTTCCAATTACATACATCAAGTATCATTGGTGGAATTATGTGGAATACCAAGATAGCTTGGTCTGTTTGGAGGATAGGAGTTCACAGAACCATGCATCTCTCCTGCAAGCAGCCGCCGTAGGGCAGATGAGGATCGTCGCCCCCAAAAGGATTTACGTATGTTGGGAATGACGATGTAGGTAGGTGAAAGGTTTCGAATATATGTGACATGAAGATGTACCTACGTACGGTACGGTGTATCGAAATATCGAAAGAGGAGATCAAGAGGGAGATCAAATCAATCGGGAATAAACAAGAAATCCATGATCTCAACTGGGTAATGAATGTGCTCTGCTCTTCATTGATAATTCAATGCATAATGTTCGTCTGAAAATCTTTCTGCATGTTGGCACTGGCAGATAGACATGGTTCTTGGCGCTGGTGCTAAGTCCAAGTGTTGTTGCAGACCGGAAGTTAAGGTTATGAGGAGTCTAAGCGTTGTTTTGAGATTACTACGGAGTACGTACTAGGTCGGTAGATGGATGATAGAATTGAGGGGATTTAGAATATAGGATTTTGATGACATGGACGATGTCGATGGTAGATGGTAGATGGTATTGATGATGGCAGTAGACGTGAGATACTGAGGTCACTCCTGTCTATGAGGAAAAGATACTACGAATAGAGACAGACCAACAAAAGACGGCCAGCTGAGGAATGGATAAATGATAGATACTTTAGATACTTATCATCAGGTACCAATGGCCGATTAACATCATCATCACACCAAACTCACCAAAATCATCAAATCTTAGAACAATCGATTTGCAAAGTCGCTCTTGGCTATCACGGTAAGATCCGAGGAAAATAGGGAAAACAGGAAATTATTATATGATTATTGAATTTTCCTTCCGAATGGTCTGATATCCACATCGATACACTAATAATGTATATCTCCGTAGCTTCATTTTCGACCCTCGCAGCAGGGGATTGGCTTACAGGCTCGACTGGGCGACAGAGGACGGACGGTGGATGATGAATGGGTGGATGAGTGGATGAGTGGATGGATGGATGAGTGTTCCGCTCGGAGGTAAAAAATGCCCGATAAGATTTGCGACATGTGATGGTAAAAAGCAAATGCAAAAGTCATTCCTCATTCAGTTCAGAGAAAGTTATTACGACTTCCGGCATTTCGAAGCAACTGTGTTGGATATGCTCTGATGTGTTGGTTGGAAAGGTTAACACGGCATTGATGAACCAAGAAAGTAATATCCTCATATCACTGGCATCAATGCCACACCCAACTCTTTGTGGCCTCTCTTCCTCCTTTCCTTCGCTCCAAGGTCGCCCATCTACATCTCCGAGATGCCAGTTCTCCCTCGGCATATCGTGCCTAATAAGTTAACCATATTGCATGATTCCACTATGGGAAAGCATCCATGTTCACGGATGGGTAAAGCTTTGAGTATGAACAAGGATTTCGAAGCGCAAGAAGTAATGAATAAAGATTTAGGATAGGGCGGATCAAATGGTAAGACGGTAGTCCAAACATCTCAAGTTATACTTGGCGATATAGCACGAGAAGCGGGATGAGATAATGTAGAACTTATGATTGAAGAATGAACGATGACGGTGAACCGGGTGAATGAACTTGGAGTATTGCTCCTACGACCAAGTCATCTCCAATCCATTGGAACCAGATTCATGAACCAAGACGGAACAACCTCGAGTTCTATGATTCCCCATCAGCCATCCCATCAGCATCGGGTCATTTTCTGATATCCTCCTCCTTGTTCTTACTCATCAAAATACGGATGAGAAGTTTGATGCTACCCCTTCCCTTCCCTTCCCTTCCCTTGCTTTAGCTGAGGATACGACTAATCCGATCCCAGACCAAGATCGAGACCTTCAACGGGAGATTTAAATCAGAGTTAGAGAAATGAGTAGGGACGGAGCTTTAATTTATTATCTACGCTTGGAATCCTGCTACGTGCCCGTGTAAACTGTTTGCAACGGCATATTTGCGCATTGATACTCGTACCATCTCCCATTCTTCTCTCTCCCCTCCTCCATAACCCATTCCTCCATCTCATCCCTTCAATGAGCAATGAGCAATGGTCAATGGTTGATGTTCAATGGTTAATGTTCAATGGTTGATGTTCAATGTTTAATGTTCAATGTTCAATGTTCAATCATCAATCGTCAGTCCCTCGGTAGCAATCACAATCAAACATTAGCACAAACCGCTACGTGCGTACTAGATGATTTGTATCCATTTCTCGAATCCCAAAACCATCAGCAATTCATCTATTTTCTACCGGTTTTCCTTCCTGTCACTCACTTCCGCCCCACCATCATTTCCTTAACTTCCCTCGCACCACCCAAAATCCCAAATCGTATGGATATCTGTCGACTTTCTAACATACATCTTCCTCCTTTGTAACCCCAGTCTTCACCTTGTTCCATTTATTTTCATACATCGCCACATGGCATCAGACATTTCTCGGCACCACAGATAATTTTTCCGGTATGTTATAACAATCAAATGAACCTTGACAAAATGTTGTGGTGGACAAAGGGTCAACAGCTATCTACCTGGTATTTACGACATACATGCGGATGTGCCGCTTCCACGTTCCCCCAAATTCTAGTTAGCCAGTCTAGCCAGTCTACTGTAATGCTGACGGGGACTACTCAAATCACACAACTATTCATTGTATTCACTGTCCATTGTCAATTGCCAACTGATATCCTGCCCATTGCCACCATTGCCATTCGTTCAGTCACTTCACTAATTGCTATTCGGAAGAAAGCCTTACTACTACCAGTACTAGGGAACCATACTCAAAGAGAAAGTTCCAAAGATTCTTAATTTCTACTTTGATACCAAAATCCTCCATTTTGAATTGCTCTAAACTATTAAAGGAAACAAGCTAACCTTTCTGTTTCCTTTTTTTTTCTACCTACAAGGATTTTTCTTAAGTTAGGACCGGAATAAGATCACCTCCGCCAACCTACCCAGGTATCCCCCTAGTCTATTCTAAAAACCGACACGACCCAAGCGAACATCTCCTCTACTGCACGTCTCTTTTTTCCCTTTCCCTTCCCTTCCCTTCCTTTCCTGA